CTCGGACTTTCCAAAGTTTTTGAACTATAAGAACTGTAAGAGCATTTCAGTAGTGTATGTAAGAGCATTTCACATGTGTGTGTGAGAGGTAATTCGGAATCATGTCCCTGACGGCCCCTCATAGTTACAAGTTTCTGCTCGTTACTCTCGTTACAATCTGTGTAATCATATCGGGGGAGTGATTGAGTCAGAGCCTGGTCGCTGCAATTAACAGTTGACCGTGAGTTGTCTGACTGAAATGGAGCGAACCCTGCGAGTTAGTTCAGGCAGCCAACTCGAGCTGCGCTGCGCCAATCATGTGACACACATCATGTGACAAACCTAATTCTCCTCAATCATTTATTATACACACCCACCTTATTAGGCGGCCCTATTTAAGCGGAGAGAAATTTCCCATCAACCCCTTTGCTTGCACTGCTGCTGCAGTATCACTACCAGTTGCTTCAGCGTCTCCACCACCCAGCAGTCCTCCGACGGGGAGTTACAAGTATTTGCTCGTCACTCCCATCATATCTATGTAATCATATCAGGGGAGTGATGACGTCGGAGCCCAGACACCAAACACAAACCTGTTCTACTGCAATAAACATTTGAATGTGAGTTGTCTGACTGAACTACATTATATCCAGACANCCTTTAACCGGGTGAATAAGCCCGAGCACCAGGACACAGCTGCTTTAAAAAAAATACTGTACTGTAATGCACCTGATAAGTATTCTGCCATGTTGCGCAAAACTAGCAGCAGCAAACTCTGTGTAAACAAAGACAGATGATCGTCAGCTGTACTGCGGCTGCGCGCCTAGGTGAGGTCACCCCAGTGAAAGCATGGGATGTAAACAAAGCAACTTGGACTCACAGGGGACTAGAGCTTGCGATTCATAGTAAATAAAGAGTTTCGTGGCAGATAATGCGTTATTTAGAGGCTGTATTGTGGATGCCCCAATCACTTGTGTTGTATGGATATACATCGATCGCGTGTGGATCTAAAAGCGTCCGAAGGACTCCAAGTTACTCCAAACCTTTATGGGTGAGTAGATCTACATACCATATGCTGGAAATAAGGTCCAGGTTGAAAAGAACATCTCCTTTAAGAATTTTACTGGAGATATTCACCCTTAGATATAAAATGTACTGACATTTTGCAAGTACATTTTCGACTACCTTTGTATCTAATGTTGAAAATATTGAAATCAACTACCTTTTTATTTACAGTATATCCGGAGTAATATTTACATATTATTTGATCTACTTTATAGCAGTATTCCACAGTGGATTTGTTGCATTCTTAATATGAGCTATTTTTGTCAATGCAATTGTTTTAATGTTAGACTTCTATAAAACATGAAATAACAGATGTTTTTACCTAACAGCACCTTTTATTTCCACATTTCAAATGACCTTTACTGATTCATTTTTTCTCTTAAGCTGGTAGGTAAGATTATTAAATGTGTGGTATGGGACTGCACAATGTGTTAATTATGATGATGTTTAATGTGATTAAGTTTTTGATTTTGATTGAAGTTGTTAAATCTAGTATGTTGTTTTCGAAGACACTATGAAATTTCAGATCAGCTAGATGAGAACTTACCAGTTGTCTGTTGGGGTTCTTCACATTGAACACAGTGAACGATCCTCCTGTCACAATCTGCAGTGCGTGCACACACACAAACAAATTATATTGGTAGAATACATTTTTACACTAAAATAAACCCCCCTCCATGCATGGATGAATTCTGTTCTTTAAGGTAGATGGGACTTATTTATATAGACTGACTATACCAGCAGTCAGACTAGAATAATCATCATGTGTTACATACCAGAATGCCTAACACAACCGGCAGGATGTAGAGTTTTGGCAGACTTTGTTCGGTATAAGAGAGTGGGATTGACAGTAAAATCTGGAAGAGCCCCAAGAGGATGGTCACCACCTATAAACACAAAGATATGGCATGACACTCAATAATGATTTACTGGAAATAAGACTTTAAATTCAAATGATGTTAACTCCATCCAGTCTCAGTAGTGTCCTGATCTTACCCCAGCAGTTTCAGGGTCATACCAGGTGGAGAGGTGATATAACCTGGCTCCAAATGCTGGCACTCCTCCCTCTGAAGACATTTTACTGCAAAACAAGAAACTTAAGTCAGATACAACAGAAGATCTTGGTGAAAAGTTGTTTTCCACAAATCAGACAAGTGAACTCTGACTTTTAAGACTCCCTCAAACCTGTGACTAAAATACTCACTTGATCCCATCATGAGCAAAATGAAACTGTGTGTTCAAACCCCTGTAGTGTCACTCTCTAGCAAGATGGCAGCAGACCATATAGGGAAAGAGTCACTGAGAGGATGCGACAGTGCACATATAGCGGAAAGGAGGAAAACGTAGGAAATGTGTAAACTACGACAAAGCAACTTAGTTTACAGCTGAAACCAAAGTAGAAATGTACCATAAATGTACACATTCAATATATATTGATTCATTTCAAAGAGTCTCTGGTAATAAAATAAGACAAAAAGACTCACGATTCTATATTGTCATTGTTCTGCTGCAGACACCAACATAATGACATGATATAAAACATTAATCACGAGAACACTAGTAATATATATATATATATATATATATATAGGTGTGAGCAGTGTGAAAGAAACAGAAATAGAGCACAGCACTGACAGCTTAAATACACCACAGTGGTTAAAATGGTGCCTGAGATTTATGTTGCAGTGAGAGAGAGAGGGGTTGACATGTGAGTGAAGTCATGATGTCTTACTCTAGAATCTAGTTATTTAGTTTATCATGACAACCACAAACAACCACATATCCGCTAAGTCCACTGGTGGTTTCATATCAACTGGGAACTGGATGTACAACTACACTGACTGTTACTATCATCTTCCAAACATCCTGTCTGAATAATATATGGTGTTTTAATGAAATAATAGAGGGGACATGTGTGACGGATTGATGTAGAACTACTAATTCCCGTGAAATGGTTTTCTTCAACACCACCATGTAGTACAAGTGACATAATCACACTGAGTTATGATAGATGTTCTCTCTTTAGTCCCCCACACTTGCAATATGAAGGATAGATAACTATGAAAAGGTTCATTTAAATGAGTTTGAGTGCAGGAAGAAAAATGCTCATTATTTGAGAATAATGCTTGAAAACTGCAAATGATATTGAGCGAGAAAGAGGAGAAAAAGACACGAGTAGACGTGAAGAACAACAGAGACAGGACCACATGATCATGAGACTCAGCACCGCTGGAGATTACAGAAGACGGTGGGAAGCCAGCAAAACTAAGTGGCATGTGTGTGGTGTTTGTGCAAGTGGATTGAGAAATAGTGAATAAAATGAGGTAGTGAAAGAGAGAAAAAAGGAAGAGAGAGAGTGAGAGGGAGAGAGAGTTCATCAAATCCACATGTCTCAACCCTCTTAGGAAAGGCAGGAATGCTGCAGGATGAGAAGCAGATGTGGAGAGAGGGGGAGGAGAGGAAGAAAAGAGGAGAGGAGAGTGTGTGTGTGTGTGTGGGGGGGGGGGTGTTGTGCAATAATGACAAGAAATGATATCTGAATATTCAGTTTTATATAAGTGGACAATATTTTGTATTGCAGTCTTATATTGCACTTGCTCATTCGTGTTAATAGGATATTAATCGTTGCGCCAGTTCGGTGACATGACATCTGTTAATTCTAGCTACAAACAACAACCTGGATGACACGATCCTCCTCTAAAATGAATCTAAAATAAATATCTCCGCATGCACATACATTGCACAGCAACATTTAACAAAACGCAAATGTGTTTTCTGAAATGCTGTCGTGTTTTATAGAATGTGATTGGATAAATGTTGCGATTTCTACACTATTGTGTTTCAAAGAGGTACAGGCTGAGAGGTACGGGGTGAATACAGATTCAGAGAGAGGGTATGTCAGTTCAGGGTATATACAGGTACTGACAGCTGAATGAGAGCTTGTAGAGATTTCATGACCTGACAGACCGGTCTATATATTTCAGGTCAAAATCCACCTGTCATAAACCTACAATTCAGCACGACAAATTTGAGTTTGTCGATGTAGAGCAAAATGTGTATATTTGTAACACTAATGAAAGAGAGTGTATCAATACAGTCTGTGGTGATATTGCTGACGCTATACAAAGAGAGTGAAAAATGTGTGATGAGATACATACAGCACAAAACTGCACGAAAGATTCATCGTGATGCTCAAGTTACAACTATGAATTTACAATAAGAGATCTGAACGTAATAACCCCCTGTCCTGTGATTCAATGGTGCTTTATGACTGGACTGTCATTGTCCAATCAGATTTTTGGGTACAACCATTGTTAAAGTCTGTTCTTGTAACGTGAGCCTTACACAGGAAACTCTGAGTGCTCACTTTCACACAGGTTTCTGTTTTGTACGTGATTGTAGATGTTGACACAAGCACCTCTTTTTTCACTCTTGTTTCTCTCACCACTCATTTCACTTACTGAGATTTGATCCTTTTTTTTTTTTAACAAACACAAATGATTTCCACATGTGCACATGTTTCATAAAATGCAAATCATTTCACGCATGCATTTTTTTACATATACAAACCCGATGTACAAATACAAATCTTTTCTACATGCACTTTTAAATGTTGCAAATCATTAACACACATTTGTTTATTTGTCGAGCTCTACAGAGAGAAGTATTGATTGACATCACGTCACAAGTTCAAACCGTGCCAGCAGGCATCACCAGTTCTACCACTTGAATCTGTCCGCAGCATTAACACAATAGTAAATGTGCCACTGTTCCCCTGTCTGCGGGCCTGCAGCTTGGAAACCATCACAACAGTGTCCTGTGAAGCGGTCTCTTACCTCTCCTGCAGGTTCCCAGGGACACTGTGATGTGCGGATGGCACCAGGAGGGTGTGAGGACCACGCCGAGCAGGAAACAGTCTGGATTCAATGTCCTGAAGATGAACTTTTCACGGTGAAAGTTCAACAGAACGTTTTTCTGAAAACCAGCAGAGGAAGCGAAGGAGGAGCTCAGCTGGATCTCATCCATGTACGGACAATGTCTCTCTCTCTCTCCCTCTCCCCTCCTCTCTCCCTCTCTCTCTGTTGCAGGGTGGTGCATTCAAAATAACGAGTGGTCGACAGGATCCTACGGACGAGGACAACTTTGCGAACCTTTCTGCAGAGAAGAGAAAAAGGTAGGACTGAGACACTGAGTGTCCTCTGGTGATGAAGTCTGTTGCATGGAGTGGGCCTGCTGATGGACGAGAGGCTGCTTGACCCACACGGAGCTGCGTTATTTTCAACAATGCAAAACAGATGAGCTGCACATTTACGCAACACTGTCAATTTGTGCGTAACGAGTGGAGATGGAATTTCCGGTGGAGTGTGGGCTGAGCAGGCGGGTCCGGTCGATCACCGATCAAACATGAACATTCATCTGCCCCTGTTGTGGTGTCTTTATGAACCAGTGGTCTGTTGACTCCAACTCTGCAACAACAGCCACTGGGATCCCGGGACACACTAGAGGGTTAATTCGGGTAATCTGGGACATTTGTTTTGCAATTTAGATTTCTGCGACTGATTCCGATATCTGTTGTGCACATTGGATCAGCACATTATACCTTTCTGTAATCCTTAAGATGTTTTCTAACCACACCAGAAGAAGCAATCGAGATTTCATACTCAAAGGACACATGACACAGCTTTTAGTTTTCGTTGTGCCAAAACAATTCTGGTCCCTGAATCCATATATCCCCCATTTAGATAATTGAAATGTCTGTCCCAGATTACCCACAGCATGCTGCTCCACATTATACATCATATCTGGTAATGCACTACAGGGTAGAATGAGCCTGACAGAAGGGAACATTACAAGAGAAGGATTTATATCAGTTGTTCTCAACTCTTTTGATTGTGCAGGCTTTTTTTTCTTGTCACTTTATTTGATATCGCAGGAGTTCAACTTCAATTGACATATGAAATAAATGGCCTCACACATATCACACATCACACAGCCAAAGACACATACTCTCGGGCTGGAGAGTTGGATCAGTCACAATAAGGAGAGCCATATCAAGCATTGTGCTAAATTCCATCAGACTCATAAATAATTAATCTATAAATCTGATATTATTCCTATTTAAACTGAGCGGTACAGTGGTTCTTTCTGTGTGGAGTTTGTAAGCTCTCCTCTTGTCTGTGTTGGTTTTCCCCAGGTACTGCAAAAAAACAAAAACATACAGACTTCATGGGATAGGTTTATTGGAGACTCTATATTGACAGCAGGTGTGGTTGGTCTGTAATGCGCTCTGGACCTGTCCAGGGTGTAACCCCTACTCTCGCACCCCCAAATATATCAGCCAATCTAGTAAACAATGTAGATTTCATGGCATTTGTAGCTGCTAGTATGGTATCTGATATGACACTTGACTATAGTAATAGTTATACTACTAGTTTTAACATTATCCCTATATACAGGCAGAGTTTGAACTTTAAGGTTGGGGTTTCACAGATTATCTGGAGAAAATGTCATATGAATATCAGAGGCCTCTGATAATCAGGATACCAGCAGGTAGAGTAAACCAAATACAAACACCACAGAAGTTATCTTGTTTGGCTCATTCCGTTCACCCACACCAATGGGTCAGGGCAGATGGCTGCCCATATTGATTCTGTTTCGAGATTTTCTTCCTGTTAAAAGGGAGTTTGTTCTTGCCACATACTTCAGTGTTGCTCTATAATATTGTGAGGTCTACGAGGCCTTCAGATAAAATATGTTGTGATTTGGTACAAATAACATTTCATAGAATTGAATTGTCAATAAAAAGGGATTCATTTATTAGCTGCAGTGGTATTCTCAGCAGGGCAGCTTGACTCAGCACTGCCACTTTCATCCCTAGACCTAGCTGTTGTTGTTTTAGCAAAGAAGCCATGTATATACATTGTTCTGATCAAGTCAAAAAAATACTTCTTTCAAGGTAGTAGTGGTGAGTTGCAGAGGCTCCAGAGTGCGTCGGAATTTTCAGCCTTGGTTGTAGCTTTACCTGGCCTTGTTAGGGGGCATGCCAGAATAGCTGCTCAAGCGTGCATGTGCAAATGTGGATACAGTGTCTGCTGGACGATTGACAAAGTGTTGCAAGAACATCAGGCGCACTGTGGGAGAAGAGGGACTCCCTTTACTGCCAACTTTCAGCTCTTTTACACACACAGAAACCTACATAACACTTGGTTAGTGGTGCCTGGAGAAGTGGGTGTAGGCTACTCTTTTAAAGAAACCCATCCAGCAAAGGACAAACCTAGCATGTTATTAACAGTTACATGTAAGACCTTTCTTGCATATTTAGTTGGCCAATAGTATTTGCACATCGTCACATAATTTCTAATGCAGTTTTGGAAATCAATGCTGAACCACAGACTTGACTACAAGATGATCTACTTTAAGTCAACTATTCCTTCATTCATCCACACAAAATTGTACAATTAATCTCCCTTCATGCAAGTAGTCTATGGGCCAGTGATTCTTTTGTTGACTGTCACTTAAAAAGCACAATATGTACACTTTAATGTTGTTGGCCACACCTGTGGTTTTGTCTTTATGTGATGGAATAAAGGTTTGCAGCTCTTGCAGATCTCAACAGCTGCAACATAAAGCTTTATGATGAGTGAACTCTGCTGTCATCTCCAGGTGATGGCAGTAGCAATCTCCAGGGATCTGACGGTGCAGGTGCTTGAGGATGTAAATGCGGTCAAGCTTTCTGACAGACAGCAAGCCCTGCGTGCTGCCGTCCAGAGAGGAGAGCCCAAATATCTGGGGGTGAGTCTAGTACTGTGTGTGTGTTTGTGTGTGTGTTTGTGTGTGTGTGTGTTAGGGGGGGGGCATATAAGGTCATCTTTAGATGTCACATTTAAGAGGCCGTGACCTTGCCCTTTGACCATTGACCACCGATATCAAATCAGTTTATCTATGAGTCTAATTGAAAGTATGAGCCAAATTTGAAAGAATTCCCTCAAGGTGTTTTGGAGATATCACATTCACAAAGCATTAGATGTACTTTGTACAGTGACCTTGACCTTTCGTCTTGACCACCAAATTCTAATCAGGTCATCCATGAGTCCATGTAAATGTTTGTGCCAAATATGAAAGGACTCCCTAAAAGTCCTCCGGAGATATCTCGTTCACAAGACAGACATGTGCTCTGTGAGGTCACAGTGACCTTGACCTTTGACCAACCAAAATCTAAGGTCATCCTTGAGTCCAAGTACATTTTTTGGACAGGCAGACAGACAACCCAAAAAAAATATTCCTCTCAATTCCTCTGACCACTAGCTCTTGTATAAAGAGATATAAAAACAGTTTCACGCAAAGAAAACACAGAAGCAGACAAAAACCATAGGAAGAGGGATACATGCAAATGAAAGCTACAGAAAATATTAGCAAGTTGGCTTTTTCGTCAAGAATAAAAGTGATTCAGGGGTTCTAATAAAATGCTTCTCATTGATTAGAATCAATACTGAAAAACTGACCTGATGTTTCATGGCCTGTCTTCCACATTCTTCTAAAGTGCCAATGCTCATATTCTCAGGCTGACGTACTTATTTTCATTTGCTGCCATGTGAGCACCCATGGTCATGTTAGTCTTAAAATGAGGTTTGGTCATGTGCATTGTTAGCACACTGACATCTTGATATCTTGAGGCAGTGGAAAACAATATCACTTTCTTGATGTTCTTTCTTCAGTCATGAGTTCAGTTCAGAATAAGTACAGGTGAAAGAAAAAAAAAAATCAAATTGAGGATGTGAGTATGGAAAGTATGGATATGAGTACCCAAATGCTGAAATGAGTAGAACGCCCTTCCAAAGCCACAATGAATAAGTTTAAGTTTGCTTATCTTAGCTTAAAGCATAATTATTCAGGAGAAAACTAGTTGGTCAAGATCCATCTTATAATTCTTCTATGCTCTCTACTGTCGCTACCTTTATGAAGTTTTTACCCAGCTTTCAGAAGAATGCTTTTTGGGTTGGGTAGAAAACATTATCCAGGTGTTAAGGTCCCCCGTCACTATGGCAGTTAAATACCAGTGAGGCCATGTATGACATGAAATCTGATTTAAAGTTTAGGGCACAAACCCTTACTTCCAAGCATCTAATCTATCACTTTGTTATGATTGTTATGATGAAGTGGTTCATGTCATGTTGTGTCAGTACGTGACAGGAGCTGTTTTTCACTGGAGCTTGTGGTTATATGTTCCCATTTTGGTGGATAAAGCAAATTACTGCTGAAAAAGAATTGACCAACATGTCCACTCGCTGACATCACTACTTTTTCACATTTGTAAAAATATATTTGAAAATGTGTCCGACAAAAAACGACTTTGTGGCTGCAGTTTGTTGAATGATGTAACTATGGTGAATGTTTTTTTAGTGTTTCGAGATATGCATTCACTTACAGTAATGTAGAGCTGAGAAATGTTTGGAGCTATAAGGACTAAGCAGGATCATAGTGCGTGAACCTGTAATGAGAGATAAACAATAGTATGCTGAACATTGGGCACACGCAGTGTTTCTGTACACGTTAACTACATGAAAGTACCTTCCAGGACTTTGCTAACTGGCCTTTTACTGTAAGTTAGGTAACCAGCATTAGTATGCATTAGTGAGAGTGTGTAATCAACCCCCCACTGACCCTACCCAGAAGTCTGTATTTAAATTGAGCGTGTTTCCTTAAATTCTGATGTAATGAGAACATTCTTTAAAATGGTGCAGTAAATCTATTACAGATTGAGTTAACCAAATAAAAATACAATTAATCTCCAGGAAATGAATGTAAGTCCATTGAAACACAGCTGTGTGTGTGTGTGCGTCTGCGTGCGTGCATGCGTGCGTGTGTGGTTGCATGCATGCGTGTGTTCTAGGTGAGTCAGGTAATGCTGGGGCTGATGGTCATGTCCTACTCCATTCCCCTGCACCTCACTGAGCTCACTGAGGTTGTCACCCTGGGAGTTCCCTGGTGGAGCGGCCTCATGGTAAGTTTTGTGTTTGTGGGTCTTAATTAAAAAATAATAAAATAAAAATAAATCTTATTTCATCGTAACATGTTTGTTCTTTTTGGGGTGTTTGCTTCCAGTTCGTCACAGCAGGAATTGTTGCGATCAACTTGGACAGAAACTGCACCATGAAGACTGTGAGTCCATTGACGAAACACACGCACACACACATTGATACATTTTTGTTTTAAAACACATCACTTTTGCTATATTTATAACTCCTGAGACTTTTGGAAACAAAGACAGACGCCCACATTCACACTGACTGTGCACAACTCGACTATCAACGGTGAATACAAAGTGTTTCTGTTAGTTCCACCTCGTCATCGGTCCAAGAAAATAAATCCCTGCTCTTTCTTTTTACCATCGCTGTTGCTCGTTAGTCGTATTTTAAGCAACTAAGCAACCAACTGCAAAGCAGTTAATGTTTTTTCTAATAGTGACTAAGTGGTCATGTGGTATGCCTTGGTGTGGAAGAAGATTATTTCTGATGCAGAGTTAAAACATTTTTTGTTGTAAAACAATGTTCATGGTAGAATCATATTATTGTGTTGGATTTAGCCGCAGTCTTTTATTTCCTACATTCCTCTGCCCCCTCCTTCCAAAGTCTGTAAGCCCACATCCAAGGGGTCCAGGAACAATATATATCTGGATCATTTATATCACCTAAAATAGATTCACAATCAAGTCACTTAACTTTGTCACACATCAAAAACGGGACACCATTTTTAATCAGCTATAACTACCAGTGATGATGATCTAGGGCCACAGCAGATGGGTAAATGCATGAAATCATGGGTGATGATAAGTTCATGGTCTGAGGTCTTTTTCGGGTACACCATCATCCTCCCTCAGAGAGATTCACACAGTCTCCTCTGACATAACACCTGTGATTGGATACATGAGAAACAATTGTTCCCTGATCAGTGTCGTATGTGGCTGAAGCTTTACTCTGCTTCTTTTGAATGTGTGTGATTAATGTAAGATAGATGTTTCAGTGCAGATAACTGATTGACAGGTCAAGTCAAGGTAGATTGTTGTCTCTGTTCTTACACTGACAACTATCTGTCATATAAGCGAGAACTTACATCCAAACAGGAGTTTGACTTTCCTCTGCAGTCATTAAGTCCTTATCAGATCACACATAGGACTGTGATGGGATATGGACTTAATGACTGAGCAAATGTAGAGTTGTGTCTGAAACTAAGAGCGGTTTGTTGAAAAGAAGATAAAAGAGTCCAGGTGACAGGTGAACTTAACAGAGTTAGTTACCACAGTAACTAAGTAACTCAGTCATTTATTTTTCTGAAACTGGCAACTGAAGAGTTTCCCCTCAACTCAGGATAAGAAGAGACTGATGAACAAACCTACTTCCTGGAAGTGGCTACCCCTAGTGTCACCGCAGCTGCTACTTACTACTGCTTCTTCTCTGCCACTTCTAATGTTTAAAACAACGACATTTTGTGTTTCAGCTGCATTTGTGTTTGTTTGTGAGTGTGGTGTCCACTGTGCTGTCAGTGGCGGCTGTGATCATCTACTCTGTGGACATGGACAAGAACCCTGCTGTGGCCTGCGTCAAGGTGATTCAAGACGACTGCAGTGTGAAAGACTGGGCCCAGGTTGGTGTCAGCTTCATTTCATGTCATCATGCTTTCAACCAACACAACACAACACAACCACAACAACAACTGAAAGCTTGGAAGTGTGTGAGGTTGAGAGTTGGTCTGGTGGAAAGTCTCATGCTGAGCTCCTCTGTGGCCTATGAAAACCTATAGAGCCGTAAAAGTAGGTCACGGACACTTTTTATTAATTCAGACTCAAAATTGTCACAGATGTTTGTTACATGATCTGCCAAAGAAAAATACACATAAATACCAAACTCTCTGGACACATGGCAGCTGTGGCTGTAGAGCGGCCGTCCTCCAACCTGAAGGTAGGCAGTTCCATCCCAGTCTTCCCCATCTGCATGCCAAAGTGTCCTTGGGCAAGATGCTGATCACTGAATTGCCCCTCATAGAAAAAAAGATGCACTGTACGAATGTGTGTGTGAATGGGTAAATGGCAAACTGTACTGTAAAGAGCTTTGAGTGGTCAACAAGACTAGAAAAGCTCTATATAAATACAAACCACACCATTTACATGTCAAACAACTTAATTAACAGTGTGTGACATGCACTGAACTCCGCAGATCTTCCTGACTTTCTCCACAGCCGGTGTATGTGTGAATGAAAATGTCAGAGTGAGAGCCTCCAGACTTTCTCCATCCCCGGGTATAAAATCCATCAGAGCAGATATGAGCGCACAGCAGGAGATCCTCCGCGGGATTGGTAGTGGTTGATGATGATCTAACAGGCGACAGACGCACAAGTAAAAAAAAACCTGGACCTCACTGAACACTCCCGAAATGTCTATATTGTGATAAACGTATCTGAGTGGAGAATGTCCTGCTGCGTGGTGCATGTGTAAAAGGCAAAATATGTGTGTGTGTGTGTGTGTGTGTGTGTGTGTGTGTGTGTGTGTGTGTGTTGCAATTACAGAAGTTAATGTGAGTGCTGTGTGGTCTTTACTACAGAGGCTGAGCAGAGGAGTGAAGTCGTTCCTTCTTCTCTTCACCCTGGCCCAAACAGGCATCTCAGTTGTTTTCAGCTTCCTTCTCTTCAGACAGAGATACAACTTCTGGCAGTATGCTGTAAGATTGAAAGATTTCTTCTTTATTAGGAAAGACCTGACTAATCTACACTAAACACATTCCTATCACAGAATGACACAATCTAACTGTGCTGTAGGACAAGTCCTGCTGACATGGCTTGTTATTACTTCCACTTTTATTACCACTTCTGTTGTGGCAGACGGTTCCTGCTTTTTTCAACAGGTTCATGTTTTTAATTCACATTTTCACATTGCATTACATGACAAATACTCTAATACACCTTTCTATTACCCTGAATTAGTTGCTGGGTTCCAAAATTTGCAAAAGAAACATCTGATCTTCAAAAAGAAGGGAAAGCCCTAACAAACTTCACCACATAGAGCTTTTATTGCTCACATCTAGAAACATGTGTTACACTGAATACAAACAGCTGAGGCTCCCACTCAACTCAAGAGGAAAACCAGTTGTCTGTGTGATTCAGTGGTAGCAACAAAAACAAACAGAAAAACAAAACCTATTTGTCTCTCTCCGTCTGTTCTGACACGGCTCATCAACAGTTGGAATAATGATGCAGACATGGCTCAAAATGCAAAATCAGTCAATCAATTTGTCAGTCTGCTGAAATTGCAGCTGTTGTTTATAGATGCGATGTGTTTACTTTATTCATTTCTTTTCAATTTTATCAGCGAGCATTAGAGCAACGAGACCCCTGCAGACTTCTTTGTAAAGTTTGCCTGTGACTTCTGCAGTTATAACTACACAGAATCCAGGAAAACATCAGAACAGAGCTGCTAATGTTACTTTGGCCTCCCACATTCAAGAGCTGCTATCCTCGGCTAGTGACGTCATTAGGAGCCGGAGTCCGCATAGAAAGGAGTGGAGCTGTGGAGCAAGGACCCATCAGTAATGGAGGGGGCAGGGTTTATCAACTATACTGCAGCCAGCCACCAGAGGGTGGGCTTCACTTTTGGGAGCTGTCATGTCATCCAACTTTTTTTTACAGTCAATGACCCTGACATAGCAGCATCCACGACTGACTTCCATGCAGTCGGGAAAAGAAATAATAATGTTCAGGTCCTGAAAGGATCATGATTATCACCCACACAGGTTACTACATTAACATGTAACAGAGGTTAAAGTCTTAACCTGTGACTCAGCAAGGTTACAGTGTTTACCTGCGACCCACACAGGTTACTACATTAACTGTCACCCCACAGGGGGCGCTATATCTCCTGGAGAAAAGTATTTAATAGGCCATTCAATTTGGGGGGGAAAAAATGAAGAGAATATTAAATTGGTCAACATCCAATTCATCTTAATCAACTACTGTTAGCGGGTCAGTGAAACATGCAAAAGCAGCACACTATTTAACATATATGAAGTATAAACTTCCATAATATGTAAATTATGAGCAAATATTACTTTTGATAGAACATATTATTATGTATTATCAGTATTAGACTTGACTTCTAATACCAATCAGTCGGCCACTGGAGATGTGTCGCTGTTCAAAGAACCCCTCTCTTCTCCAAAGTCAGTGGACCTGAATGCATTTTAGGATACTTAACTTTATGATATCAGAGGAAATGTAAGCTGTCCAAGGGGCTGACTCTCTCTCTCTTTGTCTTCAATAGTCTCTCACTCGTACTGCTCCTTCCACCCCCGAAGCTCTCATGCCTCCAAACCTGCAATGATCATTCACTGGAGCAGTAGAGGTGAGGGATGACGTCTCATCAGGGCGACTGATCAGCTGTCATCATGTTGGGATGTCGATTGAACATGTTTCCCAGTTGTTCACATTGTGTTTGTCTACTTGTCTGCCTGTGACTTATCCACTGTGCTTCCTGAAATGTTGTGGAGCTCAGGAGCTTCTCTTTTCAAATGTCTCTTGTTCTTATTATTCTCAAGGTATGTCAATATCTGAATATTAGACTTTCTGTACTTTTAAACCAAATAATACCGAACCTCAATCAACTACATAGCTTTATTACGAAATTAAGAAAGTATGAATAATAAAACCTATAAACATTGGCTGAATGTTTCAAATACGACCCGTTAACAAATGAATGAAAGGGACAAGAGGAAAGGTAGAAAACATGTAGTCTGATCAAGAGAATCGTGTTGTGAACCTTTTCTGGCCATGAAATGTGAAAATATATCCTGTGAAGTGAGGCAAACTGTCTGAGTGGACCAGGATGCAAAGGGCAGCCATGTGTAAAGAGCATTACAGGGACCTTGTGTGCCCTACATTGAACCAAACCGACCGCCTTCCCCAAAGAAACACATGATACACGATGGGAATTCTAGTCTTCAATAAAACAAATCCAATTAAAGAGCTTCTAGCAGAAACTGATTGATATTCTAATGGGAGATTTGCCAGGTAGTAAGAGAGAGCAGTTCTCTGCAGAGGAAACACTTCCACTTTGGGAAAGAGTAGATCTCTGTGTGTGTAACAAGCAGGTGCAAACTGTCTTTAAAAATACTGCACCACTAAATTCAGAACTGTTTTTTGTTTGTCAGTTACACAATTCTTTTCAAGATAAGCGATGTACCTGACAACAAGGCGTTTTAACGACGGGGAAATGAAAACACTCCAGGTGCGTCAGGTGTAAACTAGAGTCCATGTAACTGCTACAAACAGTGCTCACAGGTCGTCTAAATACTGACTTGATGAGAGGAAGCCGTGCAATGGATCATCAAAAACACCCAACAGATTCTCTGCATGTGACCCAGAGACCTTTCTACAGAAACAAATCTCACTGTATGTAAGAAGCCTCACTGCACTCCCATTGCTGCTCTTTGCTTCATGTGCCCACGCAGGAAGAGAGCCCTCTGACCTGCCTCCTGTTGATCTGAGCATGTTTTTCTCACATTTTAAATTGATGTGTGCACAAAGTATACCGTAACATGTGCACTGTTTGTTTGTTTTTATTTAGTCTACTTTAACACTGTGTTAAGATATGCTCATTAATTGTGTTCTAACTCTGATAAAGTTTGCATTATTTTATATAAAATAAAATCATATATACATATGGATTAAACCCAGGGTCCCTGGAGATTCATTTTGTTGCTCAACATATTTCTACACATTCAAACGTCTGTACTTTTAGAACATCTTTATTACACATTCAAACATCTGTACTTTTAGAACATCTTTTTTATACATTCAAACATCTGTACTTTTAGAACATCTTTTTTTACACATTCAAACATCTGTACTTTTAGAACATCTTTTTTATACATTCAAACATCTGTACTTTTAGAACATCTTTTTTTACACATTCAAACATCTGTACTTTTAGAACATCTTTATTACACATTCAAACATCTGTACTTTTAGAACATCAAACATCTGTGCTTTTTTCTAACACATCACAATTTCTTTTTTAACACCTCACATCACCATAATCGCGCACCCCTGAAGAACTCTGGCGCCCCCTAGGGGCACACTTTGAAAGGCCCTGCTCTGGACCATTTCCAGCATCCACACTGACCTTGTCAGGACCAGCAGACATCACGGGGACCAAAGCTGGGTCCCAAAGGTCCTGCTGAAGGTTAGGGTGATGCATGGCGTGGTTATTTAAAGGAATAGTTCAACCGAGAAAGAAAAGGAACGAAAATTCTGATGTGGACAGGAGCGGACATGAGACCACAGGAACAGCATGGAGACGTGTCTTTTTCTGTTGTTTTATCACGTTTTGAAAGATTGTCCACCAACACTTCAGTTGTAATGGATTTGGCTGCAGCACTTCAAACCCCTGAGACTCCAAAAGTGTTCTGTGGACACTTTTGGTCGCTCACCCTCCTCCGGCATAGTGGCGAGTAGATAATGAGTGAATTTTCATTTTTCGGTGAACTCTCCCTTTATGGTTGTGAATGGACTCTCGTGGAAACACGTTGCACACTCAGCCCAGCAGGTGGCAGACGCTTCTTTTCATCGCACACTCACTTTTTCCACATCCTGTTGGAAAAAGTTAGTCTGACACATCTGATCTTCTGCAGCTCGTTGTTCTCAGGCGTGTTCCCCGGAGGAGCGTGTGTGCTGTCATCATGTCCTCTCGGTGTTTCAGCGGACTGTGGGCGGCTGTGATCGCCGTCTTGTTTGCGGCCGTTTCGGGGGAGAAAGTAGTGGAGAGTCGCTCCGGGATGATCCAGGAGCTCCGAGCAGCCCTGGCCGACCTGGCCGGGGAGGGAAGGACCTACCTGGGCAGACTGGCCGGGGAGCAGACGGTGCTGTCGGTACAGAAGGTGAGAGATGGAAACCATGTTGTTGAACGTATAGCTGAGTGCGTGTGGCTCCATGAAGGCTGCTGCTTACAAGAACAACTAAAGGATCATGATAGAAGCACCAGTTTTCTTATTGCAACACCTTTTATTAACTTATCACCTTCTTAAATGTAGAATAACCTGTTTCATAAGTTTCTGTTCCATATGTGTCGTGTTAATGCTAATGTGTGTCAGTGGAAAAAGCAAAGTGAGCAACTAAGACTTCATTTCCTGTTTCGAGTCTTAATAAACTTCAGTGAACAGCTTTATTAAGACAGCAGTTCATTCATACAACTAAATACACCCTAGACCAACACGTGGATTAATGCACAACGTTGTATTCATGATTTATTAACGCTTATAATTGTCACTCTCATATGAATAGCAGTGAGATATATAGTTATCGAACCATGAGTATTCTTCATGGAGGATCTGCCCCAACCTGGCAACCCAGACGCTGTTGTTGAGCTCTGAAGCATTAGCATGAGATGTGTTAACAATAATAGAGCCACTTATTTCACTGAGGTTGTGTTAGCGAAGCAGAGCAGATTGATTCAGACAAGTGTCTTCACCAATACTTGTAAATAAAGATGGAAGACATGACAGTTCCCCTAAAGTGAAGCCAAAACACCTCCTATAGGTCATCAACCCACCTCCTTCATGTTAGTGGATGGGACACGGCCCAAACTAAAAACTCTAAAGTACACATCAAATAATATTTTCACAAAGATGGTTTGATTTATCACATTGAGCCATATTCAACAAAAACTTTTGAAGTCTCGGGGTGAATAGTGTTGCAGCCAAATCCAATACAGTTAAAGTACTGGTGACACATTTTTCAAATGTAATAAAACAACAGAAAACTAACACAGCATGCCTCCATACTGCTTGTGTAGTGTCATCCATTGCCGGAGGCCCCGACATTCATATTCGAATCAAAACTGCCTCACTTACACCAAGTGTTTAGCCTAAAAGTCAGCAAACAGAAGTGGCAATGCTAGCGGATGTAGCGATGCTGTGTGTAACCTTGTGCGTGCCCTTGGGCCAGAGCTTGTGTGCAGTGTGTGTGCATTTCCAGTGTGTGCACGCAAACGTGAACGCAGCTCCAAGGATGATATCATTTAGGCTAAAAACATGGTGTGTATGACGCGGTTTCGCGGAAACTTAAATTGACTTCTGATTGGTCAGGCCATATAATAGGTGGTACCTCGTGACCTTGGCTGCATTACATGATTACCAAATGACATCACCAGTGCAAGATGTCAGCGCCCGTAGCCAAGATATTTTGGCGTCCAGCTTTAACGACAATTGATCATTTTTATGTACAGTCATTAATCTTAACCATGTTTCTTTTCCTCAACCCCCCCCCATCCAGGCTTTCTCTCAGGTTCTGAGTGTTGTTGCAGGGAGTTTGGCCAGTGGTCTTAACGTGCTCCTACAGTATGTCTCACATTTCCTGCAGGCGTCTGGAATTCAAGGTAGGCATCTTTGCTGTGTGATGAAATCACATTCACAGGGTATTTTTTTGTTTCAATGACACGCACCAATAGGCACATTATAAACAAGCAAAAACATTGTTCTGAATAATTGTAGAAATTCCTCACATCTCTCAGCTGGCAGGCTGAGCGGGGACACTTTCCTTTGAATGTCTCGTGGATGTCAGAGTTATCACACTTTAAAATAAATAACACTCAGCAGTAAAATAACCTACAGTGTGTGTATGTGTCCCTGCATGTGTTGAATAATCTATTTTTCCAACCAGTCCAGTTTAGATAATGTGCAGACAAAGAGACAGACAGGTGTCCAAACATTTGAGAGTGGCAGACAAAGCTGGTCGTTGATCCAGCAGTTAAAAACAGAGGTAAATATTTAGACACAGTCACAAATCTTCAGAACACAACAAAGGCAGACAGGTCAACTGACAGAGGTCTTAGTGGAAGAGCTGGGATTTATATGCTGCAGCAGGTTGTGGAGATGATCAGGTGATGAAGCTCAGGGGTGTTGATGGATTGTTGGGAGAACAAGAATCCAGCAGCCACGCCAACAGCACACATGAACAGGATCAGGAACAAAACAAGAACAAGTAAACATGCAGCAGGAAACAAACTGATGTGTTGTTATATCATATGGACTTGTCCTTGTCATGGCAATTTTTCATAAACCAAACAGTCAGTGCAGAAGGTAATCAGCGTATTGATCAGTAATAAAAATGATTGTTAGTTGTAGCCTGTTTGTTGTTTATTATCATTGCCAAAAAAAGACGTAAAAACGTTTTCTTCAGATTTACACTGATTTAGAGGACACCAGCTCCATCCAAAGAGGAGACATTTGATACTTTGCATCAACAAAGTTAATAGATTTAAGTTAATCCTTAATTCTCATCACTGATTCCAGGACAGGTTTGTCCTCAACACGCATTACAGATGTTAAATAGGAAAATGTTGCGACCCTGAGATTCTTTCTGTTTTTAATATGAATATGGGTTGAGTTTAACTCCAGCTAACAGTTTGACCTAATGTGAATCCTCTGGTTGTGTTTAAGTTAAATTACTTTATCATCTTCAATGAACACACAGGCAGAGACAGTGAATTCAACGCCAATGTTATTGCAATTTAACTGAAGTGTTGACTTCTCACTGTCATCGTGTTTCTCTTCTCCACAGTCGTCTTCCCCGTCAACAAAGTGACTCCAGAGGGGCTGATCTTTTTTGCTCAGTGGCTTCTCGTGGCTCTCATTGGCTACTGGCTGGTCTCCCTTGCCTTCTGTTTAGTCGCCTCCACTCTGAGGCGGGCCCTGTGGCTGCTGAAACTGGGTGTGGCCGTGGCCTGTTTTGGACTCATCCTGAGAGACCACAGCGTGGGCACAGAAACCATGGCCATCCGATTGGCCGTCCTGGTGTGCATCTGCGTCCTATTGGGCGTCGGGTTCTCGAAGGGCTCTGATGTGGCTGATAAAACTGTTCACCTGGAGGAGCAGGTGAAGATCCTGGAGAGGCGACTGCGAGAGATGGAGAAGTGGACAAAGGTGGACTGAGCTACACAAGATGAAACACCGTGGAACTTCAAGAGACTTTTTTTTACACTATACATGTTTTCTATGTGTCGAAAAGAAATGCATTTCTTTCAGTTGTTACTGACAAAAATATAATTACTCTATCATTCCAGGCAACAGATTCCTGTAAAAATGCCTACCAAGCACCTGATATCACTCTTCTTATTTCACTCTCGGAAAGAAAACGAGCATGTCTTTGGGATTTTTTTTTTTTCTAAATGGTACCTCAACTCTTGAGAATAGTAATAATACATCCAGTCAAATGTTTTAACATGATGAGAAATGTTTTAGTCTCAGGTTTATACAGAGGTTAGAGGGCTGCTGTGGTTCAATCATGTACCTACTCCCATTCAAGTCTTTCGATCCTTTCATACAGAGAGGCTACCATACTGCCTTTACACCACACACACACACACACACACACACACACACAATAACTGTAGCATTGTTGTCCCAGCCCGCCAATACATAGATGAATCTAGGTTCTGCCTCCACTACTGACAAAGATATAACCGTTCATGAACATACCAAATAGCATAATACTAATAACAGGCTGGGTGTATTGTGATTGGTCCTCGAGCAGAGTCCATAGTTTACGGCACACGGCAATACGCTCTCATGTACTCCCAGAATGAGAGGCTCAAGTAAGGGCTGGTAAAGAGTCAGACAGGACCAGTAAAAACTTGGAACCAGGATTTTTGCTGGTCCACTCGGCCACTGATGCTGCGTCATTTCTTCTGATGCTCCCAGTGGTCCAGGTATAGAAGGCAGTATGTTTGTGAGAGAGAAAGAGATGGAGCCCAAAAACCAGACCACTCAGTGAGTCCAGGTTTATCCACTGTCACAGATGAGCTGTCGGTCCATCAAGAACATGCTGCAGTTCACGAGGCTTCATGATGTCAACTCACGACCGAAACTTTGTTTGTATCCACATCACATGGGCAGGTTCACAGATCGAATATGTTGCATTATATCAGATATTTGTGTTGCTACATGCCTACAGCAACAGTATCGGCCCAATCATTCACAACAAACTGTACATCCGAACAGTGTGCCGAAGCATGTGAACGACCTCTGCCCAAACAAGACACTAAGTTCCAGCCTTTAAAGGCTTTGAAGTGTGTGCGTGAGAGAGAGAGAGAGAGATAGAGAGAGATATGCTGGACCCTAAGAGGCAACGAGGCAGCAGCACTTCAACTGACTGTGCTGTGTCAGTTGCCTCCAAGGCTTAACACGTGTTACCACACTGATTTTGTCGTCTATTCATTATAATCGTATTATTTTCCTGTCTTGACTTGACTACAAAACAGACTTAATGCTGGGGAATTTGTTTATTGCTTATTAAAGACACAGACATATATTCTTCTTTTTCCTGTTGGAGATGCTTCACTCTTGTCTGATCATTTTCTCTGCATCTCATGTATCTGTTGAGCAGTGTGTGACTCACTGGAATCAGTGTTTTCTCTCTGGGGCAGAAGGAAGGTGCTGCTCTACTTAAATATATTCTTGTCAAGAAAACAAACTGTATACAGCTACATTTATTTTCCTATCACGACATTCTATCGTCATATTTTTCTTGTGTTGCTATAGCAAATAAAAACTGCCCCTCTTCCTGTGTACTTGCTGCAGTACAATATGTTGTTTAACCCTCTACTCTGTCTACATCAGCAAGTGCAACCATTGGTCAAAGTAGGCCAGCTGTGCATGGTTTCCTGTCAAGCAGTGTTTGATCTGTTTCATGTCATAATCGATGTAAACATGAAGTGCCATCACTGACAAACATGGCAACTCTCATGAAACAGATGTGGAATGTGGCCTTATGTCATAAAACAACCTATTTGACTGGAATCTGAAATTAATCTTTAGGGGGCAAACTACCTAGAATTGACTCTTTCTCAAACTGTAGTCTCTACTCAGTTTTACACAAGCACTTCAGTTGAGGAACTCCAGAATGCCACTTTATTCAGACGTTACATTGTACATAAAAAGCATGAAGAAATACAAAATGAGAGGTAGGAGGCCAATGTCAGAGTTCACTGGCAGAAAGTGGATGTGGAGCCCCAACTCCAGTAACATCCACAACCTTTAACTACAACTACACTAAGTGAATTATATTTGTTACATTTTACACACACACAAATATATTTCTATCTTTGTGAGGGGACTAACTATCTTGTAACGAGTATTGACCCCCAAACAGATCTTAAAAGGTCAGAACAAGAAGATTGGTCAAAATTCCCTCACCCCATATGGTCCAATAGTGGTCCATAGATAGAAGTACTAGTACACACACAAAATCTAAAGATTTTCAACTTAATGAAAACACAGTATGTCTTCCTGTTGCTACATGTTAGGATCATCAAAGCTTAAAACCACAGCTTTTATTTTGCTGTCCAAGTGAAAACTCAGCCAATAATATAGACGGAGGAGAAATGAGGCCACTGTCACCTTCAGGGTAAAAGCAGCACCACTGAAAATCATTGTATACATATCCCCAGATGTTCATATCACAAAGCTACATTTTCCGGAGTGAGATTTGTCTGGGACACAAGTATCAAAAGCTGTGGAAGGATGATGAGTGATATGTTTGTTTTTTGCTGTAATAGTAAGAAGGCAAGAGGTCACACTGAAGGCAGTCAAAGTGGTTCGTCTGGTCACATTCTTGTGGTTTAGCCGTTATTGGTTACAACAGCCACACTTGGCAGCAAAACCAGTTCATTTGGATGGAATCACAGTGTTAATATCTTCAATTTGACTGTGACACACAAATTCATAGCAACTATTAGCATATCCTGAATGAGCTGACCTAGGAGGCATAGGATCAAAAAACGAGGTAGCTATAGTTTTAGCAATTCCCTGGCATAATATAGGGCCTGGATTTAAAGTCGGCCCAAAAAAACCCTGGTTCACTATTTACCAGTTGGATTGTGATTAGCCAGTTCAGAACATGGACCTTGAACATCTAGTCATGTTGTAGCTAGGGCCTGTACTTGTAGAGTCGTATAGAAAATGTTTTAGTAATTCAGTCATTCATAGACTCGCTTCAGATTCACAAGAACAGCAAACCTGGCACCAGGTACAGTGCACCTGCAGGGGCCCCTGGTCCTGCTCACACACTGATCAGTCCCTGACCTGATCTATACAAAACTCACCGGCATTAGTCAGCCAATGTTAGCTGACAAGTCTGATTCAATGCACAAGTTAACTGCATTAGAAAAAAAAAACTAATCTGACATCCTGCAACATAACAAACCCTGGACAGAGGGGAGCAGGACTCTACTGTAGTAATAATGATACACAACCATTGTGTCACACACACGTGTTGTGTTGTACATCTGGTCCTGCAATGACCAGGTCATTGGAGGTGTGTTCAGACTGAATGTGGAGCGATAACACGCAGAGCACATGGACACAGGACAGACCAGATACTCACATGTATCTAAAGGTTGTGTGACTTTGGGATATGCACAAACTAACTAGCCTTTTGCTAGCTTCTGGTCAGATCCACTGGGCTGTTTGTAGCTCATACAAACATTTCCAAAGTGTGAACACACCTCAGGGTCCACATCTGTCAGTGAAACCTCTCATCTGAGCTGGTGTTAGTGAAAACTGCCGAGTGATCCTCAGTCTTTCTGCCACAGGTTTCTGATTTCCTTTTGCTACTCCTAACCTCTGACAGTTCATTTACTTGTTTCTGGTTTCCTGACATGTTCCATCAAAAGTCAGCTCTCGCTAATCAGATATGCAAAAAAAAAAAGAAGATATCAACATGACTGAACTCAGTTAAAAAGTAGATTGACAACATGTTAGTGATGTGAATGACATCTTAAACTTTTAGTGAAGTGAATAACCCAGTTCTTTCACATGCTAACAATTCAGGAAAACACTTCCTGTCTTTGTCTCGTCGCCTCTGCAACCTTAACCTCTGAATAACGAACTCCTAAATGTTGACAGCTGTAAAACTGCTGTCCTAGAATCTTGCAGCAGATTTAATACTGCAGCCTAATAACTCTTCATTTTAACTCAGTTGGGGGAATTAATGCTGATCAAGGCAAGGAGGCAAAGAACAGAATCTACGCTGTCCTTTTATTTCCAGCGGCACAATTTTGCATCCCTGATTTGAACAGAGGGATGCAGAATGGTGACAGGGCACTGTAACATTAAAGGAAGGAAGCTGCTTCGAGAGTCAGCTTTCCTACAGGAAGTTGGTGGAGCTGTTGGTTCCATCGATCTGGAACTTGTGGTCACCATCTGTGGAGCTGAGGGTGTTGGTGGAGGAAGGGGGCACAGGAGCCACGGGATAGGATGCAGCTTCAGCCTGAGAGGTGGAAAAAAAATACATGTTCCCTCATTTATATCAGAAAATCTTAAATGTCAATTTTTAAACGATTTTTAGATCTGTCGCCAACCTGTCATAATATAGGAGTCACGTGGGGACAAAGAAAATCTGAGGGCTAATGTAGTATGTTCATTTCCATGGATTTATTTTAAATGTAACTGCTGTTTTTTTATCTTCTGTAACAAATGTGTCTAAATATGCTATTTCTAATATTTTGTATACTTTGTACTACATATTTTTCAGGACCCCTCTTGGTGTCTTACAACCCATCAGGGAGTCCTGGCCCTTTATTCGTCAACAAATGCACCAGCTCACCACGTTTTTGCTTCTGTTTCCTTATAAAACTGAAGCAGAGTAGGTGGTCCTTCAATGTGATGTGGTCCACGACAAATTCATGTCAGTGATAAAAAAAATGAGGCCACCTCCAATGTGGTCTGAGGGATCGGATCTCAAATAGGTGTGGTCTCACTTAGAGCTGTCCACTTGATCAGATTACTCAGGATGGATGTTAATGTCAGGTCTGTGTGTGTGTGTGTGTGTGTGTGTGTGTGTGTGTCTACCCTACCGCTGGTGGAGTCAGCAGCGGTTCTGCAGGTGAGGAAGCCATATTCCCCATCTTGACCTCCTCCTTAAAAGGTTCACTTTGTGATGCCGGTGGAGCACTGCTATACATGACTGGAGCTGGAGCATAGCCCTACACACACACCGCAAACACACACACACACACACACTGTTATCATATTCAGGGATTTCAATCAACTCTCAATCCAATCACCAGAGCACAAGAAAACGTTCTATGTAACCTGACCTCACCATCATTGATCACGCAGCAGTAGCAGGGTGAGCTGCTGGGTCATTTCCACACTGAGCTGCATTCACAGATGGACATATTCTTGAATCTGATTTTATACAAGTGATGTTTGCAGGTTTACAGGTCACAGATAAGCTGAAGTTTGCTAACACCTCTCTACCCTGACACAAGACTGAAAACTGCATCACAATAAATGTTAAATTCATTCACAGTGGTATGCAGCCACTTGTTGGCTGGTTTTAGTAATAACCAACTAAAAACAGATGCACTGAGACATAAAACTCATAATTAGTTTTTAAAACCTGAGTATTGATACAGCTGCAGGTCCAGATGGAAACTAGAAAGTCACTCAGTGGAGTTCATTGTTTTTGTGTAATTTTGCTAAAAAACAAACCAACCAACAGACAGGGGTGAAAACATCCCCTCCTTCGCAGAGGTGATAACAGATTTATTTTCCTTCCACCAAGTCTGTGATAATCCTTCCAGTAGGTTTTGTGCAATATTGCTAACAAACAAACGATGAAAGATGAAAGCAAGATATAAGTAGTTAATATACCTGCTCGTACTAGCATGATTGCTCTTTTTATTTTATTGTAAATGAATGGGTACTGGGGCAATATGTTAATAAAAAAGGACACTGCGCCAGGCGAACAAGGTGTAAGCTCACCTGACTGACTTTTTACAGGGGTTGGATTTACTCCTGTTTAGGGGATTTCATTTTGCTCCGAATATTGTTTCTTCAGTTTGTTTGTTTTACAGTAATAAGCTCTATGGAGACCCACTGTGGTTAGAGAGAGAAAAAGCTATATATTGAGGTCACATTTTCCTACACTGAGCGCTCTAAATGCTATTGTGAGCGATATAACGAGATATAATTTGTTCACACATTTTGAGTCATTTGTGCACACAGAGCAGTGTATATACAGAGAGCCAGCACCACAGACTTTATTCTGTCATTATCACTTCTCGAAAGTCGTAGAGAGGCTATGAAATCTGAATTGCACCCAAACACACCACATACAATACTAGTGATCAAAGTTAAAGATCGTACCATTGGAGCTCCAGGTCCGGGGGGATACTGGCCTGGTGGTGGACCATTCCAGTGTGGAGGCTGGGCAGGGACGCCCATAGCTGGACCAACAGGATAGCCAGGGTTCTGTGGTGGGTAAGCTGGGTTAAAACCCTGTAGAGGGAGACACACAGGAAATTAGCAGTCCAGAGGAACACAAAGCACAAGCCGGGCCAGACTGGGCCCATCAAGTCTACACCAGTTTACGAAAGAATGCTCGGAGTGTGATACTAACAGGGGAGGGTGGGGGGCCGTTCCACTGTCCTTGACCAGCAGCTGGAGGCGGAGGATAGACTGTAGGAGCCTATTCAGGAGAGTGCATGCACACACACACACACACACACACACACATTTGAAGAACAAATACATCAGCATTACAAAGTCAGTTCACCAGTGATTTTAGTGAGCCTTGTTGACCATGAAGTTATTCATCACTACAGTGACATAATAAATGTGTGTTATATACCATGCCGGGGTTAGGGCCTTGGTAGTACACCTGCAAACACAAAAAAACACTTGTTAATTTAGTAACAAAGCATCAACAACTTACAACCTAATTCTCTGTGATATGGTATTAAACTTAAACTTCCTTTATTGATCCCACAAGGGGAAATTCTTTTTACACTTATTTTATACATGCATTAACCCACAATCCCACACACACACAGAGGGCTCAAAGACATGCACATTTTTTTGGAGAGAGATGGTAGAGTGATGGGCAGCCCCAGGAAAAGAGCCCTATGAGCAATTTGGGGGTACGGTGCCTTGCTTAAGGGCACCTCAGCAGTGAACTGAAACCTCTCCAGCTACCAGTCCACCTTCCACGCTTATGGTCATTCATCTTGAACCAGCCACCCTCCGGTTCCCAAGCCAAATCCTTATGGACTGCGCTACTGCTGCCCATTATTGACACACTTGACCAATCAGAGAACTCATTCTTCTTCACGCCCCTTACCCATTCAGACCCATTTCCACCTGTCCTGAGTCTGGTTGGGCCAATCACAACCATTTTTCTAAAATGGGGCCAGTTTGATACAATGACTGATGGTGGAGCAGCCAATAGAATTTTCATTAACTAACCGGACGGCTGCAGCTAATGAGCAGAGGTCTGTAATCCAGACAGTATTAAACAAACTGCACACGTACATCACACATCCGGCTCCTCTGATTGGTTGTAGCTCTGCAACTGTTAATACCGCCCCGTTGGAAATCAACAATGAACTGAGAGGATCCAGACCCACTCTTAAATATGAAATGGTCGTTTGATGTCAGGCTTCATTATGACACACTGCAACATTCAATTCAATTCAATTTTATTTATATAGCGCCAATTCATAATTTACATTATCTCAAGGCACTTTACATTTAAAGGTCAAGACCTTAAAACAATATTAACATAGAGAAACCCAACAGTTTCCACAATGAGCAAGCACAGGCGACACAAAATCCAAAATACCTCTCCGTCTCACCCACTGATCTGGACAGCGATAGTATTCCTCCTTATCCACAGCCACAGATTTTACTCACTCTTATATTATGTCTACAGAGACAGCACTGACATATCAACATGTGAAATTTTATGCTGCAACATAACATGAAATTTATGTGGCTGCAGATATTGATCCAGTACTGCTTTTGTTTTTAACAGTGTTCCTTTTTCGCATCATAATCTGAAATTTCAGTCTAATAATCCCAGTAACAGATGATTTGTGAATATGAACAGCAGAAAAAGCTTGAGCAGGATAATCACACTGACAAATTATAAATAATCCCGATTCAACTAATTCATCTGTCTGTGCCTGAATGTTACTTGAAAATGAAAAGTTTCCTATAGCGGCAGGTCGGAGCTGCTTCAATAAGAATCATGGGTAACAAAGGTCAGTTGGAGACTGGAGCTTGTGTTGGTAAAATACTCAACAATAATATGTTTAATGATGAATTATCTGGCTACCATTAACAGCACTTTACATCAGATCAGAACCATCTTTCACCGCTCAGTACATAAACACTGATTATCCTGTGGCAATTTTGAATTGTCTGGATTTTCTAAAACAGCAACACCAAAACCTTAATAAATAAAATCAAAGTAATGATCGCATTTTAAAAGGGAAAAACCACTGCAGCATTATGTACCCGTTGTTACCTCACAAACATGTACATAAAGACATGTTTGTGAGGTAACAACACCCATGACCGAAGGAAAGTTTGATTCATCTCACCGGCCCTGGTTGTCCAGGAGCACAGTACGGAGGAGAAGGTCCAACGGGACCAGGAGGAACATGGACTGTATCTGGTGTCATCTGGAAAAAAGGAGACAATGATGCAACTGATTAATTCAGGCCTAAGACTAATAATTACTGTATTATTTAATGTCTATTGATTATCCAATGAAATAAATATTTTGTCCTTAAAGTGTAAAAAAGCCTTCAACCAAGAGTAGAAAACCGTAATCTATTCAGTTGACACAGCAAATCCTCACATATGAAGTAATGGAGGTATTTCACACTTATGTGGACAGTCTCATACATCTTAAATAAATTACAAATATCTAAATTGCATATGTATGTAAGCCAAGATGTTTACAGCTCTTAACAGCCTGACTTTCACAGTGAAACACAATGATATGACGGACACACTATTTTACTAAGATTCAGATATTTGTACGACTGAAGTTTCACTTTGTTGACTCAGGTAAAGAGATTCAAATGTGGATGTAGAATTAGTTCAGCTGTAATGTCTGTTGTTTTTATCTCTGACCTTGTAAATCCTCACAAGGAAACACAGCAGCAAGTCATGATAACAAAATAATTTATGGTAAATTCAGAGCCTACAGGTGAATGATGGCAGCTTATGAAATGATAAATGAGCATTTCAATTTCAGGGCAAACTTTAATCCCACAAAATCCTGTTCTGTCACATTTAAACTGTGACTTTATTCAATAACTGAAAGTGTATGAAACCTGTAAAACACTGTTACTTCAGATCTGCTTGTCTGTGTCGACTGTTAGTACCTGAAGAGTCGCAGCAGTCGTGCTTTTCTTCTTGAAAATCTTCTTACGACAGCAGCAGCAAATCCCAGCTGGGATACCGAGCAGTAACAGCAGAGCCAAAAGGGGGTTTCCGTCTGTGGCCTCCCGGCGGTCTGCAGTGGAAAAGGAGCAGGTTGTTTGTCTCATATCTTTAATGATGGTGTGAAGGAAATGAGGAGCAAATGAAAAACATCACCTCCTTGGTATGGTAATGTGATTCTACAGCAGTTAAAAGCAGCATCAGGGACTTGGCGTGTTTCAGTTCACTCATTAGAAACTGGTTTGCTTGTCGTACAACTATTCTCACCTCAATTTGATAACATGCTGCTGTTTTCATTATTGACAACAGGTTCTCGTTGTATCCATTCGTTTTAGCAAGCTCATCCTGTTTCTGCTTCTGGCAGCAGCATCCCACAACACCAGTGTCCAGCTTACGTTGCCATTATTGTTATTTTTTATATACAAAAACTGTACTTCCAGTGTCAGCTACCACTCACCACAACTAAAACTTACCACTGCCTCATCATTGACTCCCCCTCCCCTCCCCAGGAGAGAGTTAACAGTAAAACTCTGAGTTGTGGTCTTCCTGCACCATCTCACACAGTCAATGAATGTGTCAAACATACCTGCTCATTAAAACATCATTACTCACTCTCCCCTTTTCTACTGCATCAACAGCTTTCTGACCTCACCACCCCTCCATTTTAGACCTCGACCTGTAGCAAAATAGCAGTGCCGCTCTCATCTTGCAAAACCACCAACTCAGATCTGCTTCCAGGTTTTGATTCAAATTAAGGTCACATGTAGCTTCCAGCTGACAAACCCACAAAATCCAAAATACCTCTCCGTCTCACCCACTGATCTGGACAGTGATAGTATTCCTCCTTATCCACAGCCACAGATTTTACTCACTCTTACATTATGTCTACAGAGACAGCACTGACATATCAACATGTGAAATTTTATGCTGCAACATAACATGAAATTTATGTGGCTGCAGATATTGATCCAGTACTGCTTTTGTTTTTAACAGTGTTCCTTTTTTGCATCATAATCTGAAATGTCAGTCTAATAATCCCAGTAACAGATGATTTGAATATGAACAGCAGAAAAAGCTTGAGCAGGATAATCACATTGACAAATTATAAAGGATCCCGATTCAACTAATTCATCTGTCTGTGCCTGAATGTTAATTGAAAATGAAAAGTTTCCTATAGCGGCAGGTCTGAGCTGCTTCAATAAGAATCATGGGTAAAAAGGTCAGTTGGAGACTGGAGCTTGTGTTGGTAAAATACTCAACAATAATATGTTTAATGATGAATTATCTGGCTACCATTAACAGCACTTTACATCATCACTTAGAGATGATGCTATAAGAGGTAGGTATGGGACCATTAAAGCCTGGTTGGTCTTATTATGTGTGCTTATAATTTTCTTCCTGCTCGTGGTCAAATTCACTGACTGCAGACCAGTGAGGGGGCCCACCTGTCAAGTCCATCCTGGTTACAGACACCAGTCGGCCTTTGCGGTCCATCAGGGAGTATTGTCCTTGATCACTGTAGTTCACATGTTTGATCTCAATATTCAAGGAGTGGGTCTGAACCCGGTCCCAGTAATCTGGAAGGTCCTGGGACACCGGAGCACCATCGCGCACCTGAGGGAGACAAAATTCAGTCAGAGCATCACTCAAGATCACCAGCTCCAGTTTCAGCTCCAACTAAATGTTACAAAAATATATATAACCCAAAAGGGCTTTCAAAAATTATATTCACTCCTGTATGTATTATTATTATTGTTTCTTTGGGTCAACTGACAAACTCATCATCTTCATTTAATCCACTTCCGACTTGAATTTGGCACTAAATTACTTTAGTGAAGAAATAAAATCCACTTCCCGCAAAAGAGTCTGCAGGATTATCACATTCAACAATTTAGCCAGGTGCAAATTCCTAAATATTAATATTTCCAGTACATATGGGATACAGAGACAAGTGCAACCCCCCATTTGTTCACCTTTTAAAGCCCATCCCCTAATCCCATCCATCCATCCATCCATCCATCTCACCAGTGTAACGTTAGCGCCCTCTCCAGAGAAGACGAGACCAGCATCGGCCAAGTCGATGCCCTCCAGCGGGACGTAGAGACTATCTCCCGCTACACACTTCAAATAGTTACGTCTGGCTAGAATAGAGAGGAGTAGAATAAAGTGACAAAAAAATAGAGAAAAATAATGGGAAGACACGTTATGTGGAATTTGTAATTCTGCTTTCATCCTGAGACTTTCAATGACCGACTGGGCAAACGATTGACACATACAGAGCACAGGAAAAAGCTGAGGCATAAAACAGACTTTGTGTCACGCAGAGCACCTCACTTGGATTAAATAAATATCTATTCTGTGATGTGTGTTTGCTACATTATCACCACACTCACCCCTAACTCTCAGGTTCTATTTCCCAAATAATATTAAAGAAAATATAAAAATCAACACATCACACTAAATAATGTATACACTTTAGTTCATACATACCTACAATTGATAATCTTGATGGAATTCCACTTGTACTGTGTTGTTATAACATCACAGCAACCAATCAGAAAAGCAATGATAAAAGAGAACCTTCATGGCTTCATGACAGTATTCAGACCCCTTGACTTTCCTTTACATTTTATTTTGTTGCAGCCTTTATTAAATATATATATATTTTTTTTTATAAATTAAGCTCAGGTTCCTCCAAACTCTCTTAATTTTTGAGATATTTCTCACTTTGATGGAGACAACCTATGGTTAGTTCTACTGCTGACTATGTGCATCAGAGCAAAAACCTTGATATGAGGAGAAAGAATCTGTCTCAGAGACTGAACCTTGTGGAGCACAGCTCTGTGGAAGGCTACACAAACTTTCTGCTGAAAGAGCCGGTTCCCTTTATGATTCACAACCAGGTGAATGTTGCAAGGACAAAACAGGATCTGAAAAATGCTCACACTGGTTCTTACGCAAAAGCTGAGCTCTAGAAAAACAAACGTCAGAATGTGCACTCTCGCAGTGGTGAATTCAAGCCAGTTTGTTGATCCACTTTATCATGAACATTGAAACCAGCAGTGTTATTTGTGTTTTCAAAATATAATTGTCAAAGATATAAAACAACTTAGAAAAAATAGAGCTCCTCAAACCATTGATCAGCAGGATCATTTAACATTCATGATGTGCTTTGCATTCATGTGCACGGTTCCAGGTGGACTGTGATTTACAAAGGGAATATTGCATGCACACAGTTTTATTTTTTGGCGTACATCATTTTTGGCTTTTGTTCGCAAGTAAATTTTAGTATGAATGTGCCCTGTTTGATAAGTAAAGTCCCAGGACTCTTCTTAGAGCTGACCGTCAAACTGCACAATGTGAGGAGAAGGGCCTGAGTAACGGAGGTGACCAAGAAGCTTGTAGTCATTATCAGTCATGTGGCTGAGCACCACAGATTGTGTGTGGAGAGGGAAGAAACTTCCAGAGGAACCATCATCAGTGAGGCACTCTTCCTAATCGAGGATTCACCTTCTGACTGACGATGACCCTACACCGAGCCAAGATGATACAAGAATGGCTTCGGCAAAACTCTGTGAATGTACTTGAGGGGCCCAGCAACGGTCTTGGATCAAACTGAACATCTCTGGGGAGACCCAAGAAAATGGCTGCCCACCGACAGTCCCCTTCACACCTGACAGAGCTGAGCTCGAGAGGAGAATGGCAGAATCCCTAAATCCAGGTCTAAAGCTTTTTTTATATCCACAAAGGCTGTAAATACTGCTACAACTAAAAACTGAGAAAAGAATAATAATGTCAAAGTGACAGTTTTTCTGTTGAATACATTTGTAAAATTCCATTTTTCCTTTATCATTATGAGATACTGAGTGTAGATTAATGAGGAAAGTGATTTTAAAAAAAGTTTCAGCATATGGCTGTAGTATAACAAACTGTAGTCTGATATTAGCAGACATCTGAGTGAGTGAATTTCCATTTGGAAAAAGGGATGTAAATAACACCTTTCTACCTTTTACAACCACTCAAAGCAATTTACACTATAGGCCACATTCACCCATTCACACACACATTCATACAGTGGGCAATAAGGGGCAATTTAGGGTTTAGTGTCTTGAAGTGGAGGAGCTGGGGATTGAACCCCATCAGAAAGGTGAACACCTACTGTAGCTCTTCCCCCTGAGCCACAAACACCTGAGATCATGTTTGACATCAGACTGACATTTAAGGGGGTATGGAGGAGACTGGTTAACACAAATGATTATGGTAACGCCACCACGGGTTATGAGCATTCATGGATCATATAGCACTCGGCTAACTTACTTGTGACAGCCACTTTGAATGTGGAGATCTCTTTATTCCAGAAATCCCTCTGGATGTACGTCCCCTGGTCTTCATAAGTCACCTAACAAAACCATACAGACCATATTAATACATTGTGAGTATCAAACATCTCAGGCCACACTCTAACCAGGTGTTTTGTTTTTGACAACTTTTGAAAAAAATAACAATTGACTGGGATTTTGACAGATCTCTGCCTGATTTGGCAATCCGTTGTTTTCCCAGAGAAATAATCCAAATGATCTTCTGTTACCTTCTCAATGTACCAGCGTCGATCAGTACCTGTGCCAGACATCCGGCCCTTGCTCAAACTGTGAGGACATCAATAGCCAAATGTAAATACATAAGTTAAAACATTAAACCATTCTGTCCACAACCAGAGCATCAGGTGTCCCTGACGGGTTCTGACCTGGTCCTGCCTTTCTCCCAGTAGACGGAAGTCCTTCTGGGATTATCTGCTGGGATGAACTCCAGCTTCTCACAACTCTTTGACAGGTAGATCTTCAGCTGGCGACCATGCGCTAAACGCTCATGGTCATGGCTAGTAAACGACTCTAAGACAAAAGCAAGAGGAGAAAGACAATGAGGCACAATTTCTGAGTGCTAAAATTATGTTTTTTTTTTATTTGGGGTTAAGTCCTTTGTAGTGGTGGACTTATGTCCTTCAGATTTGTACTTCACATGTGTGACAAAAAATTGTAATATGCAGCCACAATGTGCATATTTTAAATTGTTTAGAATTGATACTAATGAAATACTGATGGCACCATTTTTAGCCACAATACTAATTATAACATCTAAACATTTGAATTTATTTGGTAGACATTTCCCCACCGGGTAATAAATTCACAACAATACCAGTGTAACAAATTACACAGGACAATTTACAAAAAAAGATGTTTAAGTGATGATATTGTTTGACGCAGTGTGCTACCACTGATGCACACACATTTACCAAACAGGTTTTGTGTTTATAAAACAATGAAACAGACGACATACCAGTGAGCAGGTATTGTAACTGAACACCATTTAACGACAGGAACAACAACTAGTGCTGCCTGCGACCATATTTGTTTTGCATTGTAGTTTGATGCACAGTTTAAATATATTGGTATAGGTGCTTTCAGGTATGGGCATGGTTAAGTTATTAGGGAAAGATAACTATTACAGTTAATTAAACACAAGTGTTGCACTTGTAATCACACGACCAGTGATGTCATAGCGTACAGACACACCTACCGTCTTCATCTCAGTTACTTAATGACAAAAAACCTTTGCAGAAGTATTTCAGCTGCCGTGAAGTTGCTGCATTTATACTTAATGTGAATCAGCATGCACAGAACCAGAGACAACATGTCTCAGACTTTATTCATCTATTTAAAGTCCAGTGTGTAAGATTAAGGTGAAAGGGATCTATTAGCAGAAATTTAATGTAGAATAATCCTCATGATGTTTTCACTAGTGTGTTTCATCTAAATTGTATGAATTGTAGTTTTCTTTACCCCAGAAAAGACCCTTTATATTTAAATACTTTATATTTACATCGAGGGGACCCTCTCTACGGAGGCCGCCATGTTTTTTACATTAGTCCAGACTGGACAAACTAAACACCTTTTGAGTTTTTATGATAATTAAAGGCTACCACAGGTTCTTTTTCATGTTTGGAAGGAGGGGGTGAGGTGAGGGGTGTTCAGCTGCAACATGCAATTTCAACCCTAGATATCCCAAAATTCTACACAATGTACCCTGCATGTGAAAGTTGAACTATTTCTCACGTTTCTACACCCATCACAGACTCTTGCATGAGCAAGGTGTAAATGAGGCAGAACTCACAATATGTCACAAATTCCTATACCTGCATCCCTGCCCTCACTGACTGTGTTAAAGAGGACTGCTCAGTAGCTGTCTTTGGTCTTGAAGGTAGGAATGATGAGACTGTACTCACCCACACTGACGGCAGCAGCCAGCAGCATCACAACAGTCCACATCATCTGCAGGCACACACACAAGAGTTCATGAGACCCAGTCTATAATGATATCAGTGTAGACAGAGAGCCAGATGTTATCTTTTAACATTAATTGAGACATTTCAATAGAAACTGAAATGTTATCCTCATAGTGGCACTAGATGAAAAGTCAGAGAATGACCACAGTCATTTGGAGCACAGTTTCTGCCCCTGCAGTCCCACTGCTAACGTGGCTAAAAATAAATACTAATCGGGGCTTTAAAAATATTCTATAGTTATTAATCACCTGCCTTGGTGGTAAACTGAAAATGGCTACAACAATAGATAGTAACTAGTGGTTATTGTGCAACTCTGGATTTCCAAAGGTCCTCTACAGCGATTTCACTGAATCTAGATACATTGTTCTCAAATGGGTTGGGTTAATTCAATTATATTTGTTTTACTTCAAGATACCACTGATTAAAATGAACATGCCTCATGGATCCACTGGGGTCTTTTTTTTATCTTTGAAATGTTGTGATTTATTAGCTAAAATTGCAAAATTCTTCAGCACTATATACCTTATCTACCAAATACACTTTGCAAATTCATGTGTTTTTCTTCAGGAGAGACTTTTAATTGGTTCAGAATTTTTTGCCCCATTTAACCTGACGGTATGTCATTTGAAATGAAGGTTGTGACAGTTAAATTTTTTCACTGGCCATAAGTATAACCATGTCAATTATCTACTCAGGCCCTGGACTGGTGTGTTTCGTGTGTGTACATGTGTCTGTGGGTCAGTGTGAGAGGAGGAGAGTGGAGTCAGGAGGACGCAGTATCATTTGAAGCAGTGTTAGTAATATGTTTGCATACTTACTCACAATCTACTCTGACATGGATCTCTATAGTAAAGGGGCGACTGATAAACTGCTCTGTTCAAACATTGACACGCGACACTCAGAGAAGTGAGAAGCGATAACATCTGTGTGAGGCTTCACTGCACTGTCTGCTGTTTAATCTTAACAGTTAGACCTGTCGACCTGTAAAGGTTTAGTTTCATTCATCCAGTGCAGATGGTCAAAGATATAGACCGACTGTTGATGGTATCTTTGACTTTTAGCGCCAATATTTAAATGAGTGCACGAGGACACATCAACCCACAGTAGGCTCCAAAACTGACCCTAATACAAAAAACACCATTTCTTTGCTTGTGTCATAAAAAGCTATTTTCATTCACAACAGACCTCTGATGTCTTTACTGTCAAAATATTACCTGGCCTTGTTCAACTTAAAAAGGATGCCAATTACTTCACTTATTTCTTATCACAATACAGCCGTAAAATAACTCGAATAACAGACAGTTTTAAAATTCTAATTAGGATTTAAATCAGGAAAAACAACAACAACATGTTTCATGGCAGCTTATGGTATTGACAGTATAACCTACCACAATAAAGCTTTGATGGCATTCTCAATTAGTTCTTGAGCCAAAGAACGATCAGACTTTTTGAAAAGGTTTCCATCAGTCTGGTATGTGTGTTCTCAGTTTGCACCTGTCTGCGTTTCAGCTGCTCCCTTTCTATTCTGAGGGAGTGCTGCATCTTAATTTAGTAGAACTGCTCCAGTAAAATTTCTCACGCCACGCTGCCTCTGTAAAAAGCTGTGCAACCAATGTCCATCAATTAATCACTTGACAGAAACGGAATGGTCATTTTGTGGTTGTGAATGAGAAATCAAACCAAAACACCACAATCAATAACGCTGCCATCTTCCGCATTTGTAACCAGTCTACACAGAAGCTATCAGGGGATGATGCAGGGGTATCAAGGTCCCTCCAGTACACACACTCAACCATCATGAGTTAGCACATTGACACTGGTGTCTGCCTTTATCACCAAAAACTCTCTGTCCTCTTAGTCAGTGTCATCTGTGTGTATGGCTCCACTTTTTCATGTGGAGTTCTTTGTATTCTTTTTGTTTTTTCATCTGCTGTGTTTAATAAGCATCATCAACACGCCCACTGGCTCACAGAGAATCCTGCAGAGGATCTCCTACTGTGCTCTCCTTCAGACTTTCTGCAGACTTTTTACTAGGTGGCCAGCTGAAGAAACTCCAGAGGCTCTAACTCGGACATTTGCGTTCTGATATACAGCCCTTGCGGAGAGACTCCAGAGGATCTCCATAGCTCAGTGCATGTCTGAAAGCGACTCATGTTAGCCGATGGGACATGGACCAAACTAAAAACAATCAAAGTACATGTTAAATAAATGTTTGATTGGTCGAGCACGTGTATCGGTGGGACCTTAATACTGCAGCTCCATCCCTTGCACTCTAACTAAAAAATGCACAAAATGGAATCGGGACATTTTGGCTTCATTCCTGGATGGTGGTGGAGACGCGTCGTCCATCTTTATCTAGAGTCTATGTTGTGATTAAAGGTCCAGCGTGTAAGATTAGGGCGAAAGGGATCTATCGTCAGAAATGGAATATAAAATATCCTAATGATGTTTTCATTAATGTATAATCACCAGAATGTATTAATTGTTGTTCTCATTAGCCTAAAATGAGCCCTTTATATTTACACTGGGAGCGGGTCCTCTCTACGGAGGCCACCATGTTTTTTTACAGTCGTCAGTTTTTAAAGGTCCAGTGTGTAAGATTTAGTTGAAAGGGATCCAGTGGCAGAAATGTGAATATAAAATAATCCTGGTGATGTTTTCACTAGCATGTTTCATCTAAATTGTACAATTTTTGTTTTCTTTACCCTAAAATGGGCCCTTTATATTAAAACACTTACTATTTGAATCAGAAGTGGGTCCTCTCTACGGAGGCCGCCATGTTTTTTTTCGTTCAAACTGAGCAAACTAAAAACCTTTTGAGTTTGTATGACAACTGAAGACCACCTTCATGTTCTCCTTCATGCTTGGATGGGGAGCTTGGGGTGAAGCCACTAGATGTCACTAAATCCTACTGAACCTTTAAATCACTGGACACTAATAGGGCTGGCTCTCACACTATGCAGGACATTATGTGGAGACGCTCCGATTGCTGCTGATATATCGGGCAGTACCAGAGAGCCTCACAGGCCTTAGAGAGGCCCTCCCTCAGTGCTATGAGACCCTCCGGTCCACCCCCTGAAACCTCCGGTCTGCTGCACCTTTGTCTCGGGTCGTGATTCCGTGATTCCACGGTCGCGCGCCGCTGCTGCGAGACATACCAGAGAGGCGTGGCCGCGTGCACAAGCAATTACACGTCAGAACAACTCTCGATCGCATCCCTCCATTATCAGAACATAGCGGGAGCGCGCAGCTTGGAGGCGGACAGGCCGGACCGAGCCTTCGCTGGCGGCGGGACCCGGGCACACGCCGCTGCTGAGGGCGTTTCCGCTCGGTCCACCGGTACGCGGATCGCGTGTGAACCGGTGGATGAGTGGAATGTCCCCGCGGCAGACACACACTCTGCGTGGAAACGAGTCCAACCGGTTTGAGACCGTGGACGTTTCGGAGCAGGACATGTCTCCATCGAAGTCGCGTTTCGTAAAGAAGACATTCAAAAAACACACACAATGACACACAATCTAAGATACACACAAACAACGTGAAGCCTTCAGCCTCTTACCTCCTCTGTGCACAGTCCGTCTGTGCTGGGTGTGGGTTGTGTTGCAGGGTAGTGTGTCTGGAACGTGTTGCAGGCCGGGTAGTGTATTTGGAATGTGTGTCTGTGCTGCAGGGTGGTGTGTCAGTGCTGTGCAGACATGGCAGCGTCCTCACAGTCTGGAAGGGTGGAGTGCTGCCTTCACGGAACCGTCGGAAAAAATCACAGTCCCCACATTTGGACTTGGCTGGTTGGAAATCAGGGATCCAAAATCATGTACAGAGCAAGAAAGAATTCACCACCTGGCAACATACAAATCGTGTTTATGGACAGAGAGAGGGGGTGTTATAACTCAGGAGGGAAATTCAACTTTAAACAACACTGTTCGCACCTCTCTTGAAAGCATGTGCATATCAATTTGTGGGGTGATCTTGTGGAATGCACTGGGTGATGAAATCAAACATCAACAGTAGTGAGGAAGGGGAATGTAAAGCACGTTTAGGGTGATACTGTTATTGGTTCCTTATTTTTCACTCTATAAGGGACAATAGTTGGTGCATAACGGACAATGGTGTAATCAGGGGGAGGATCACTGCGGAGGAGGGTGGATTTATGTGAGGAATTGAAATATTGATGTATTGATAAGGGTTAAGGGTTAGGGCTGGACAAGTATTGTTGCCTCTCCCTACTCTTTTTCGGACATCATTTGTTCATTTATGTTTCTTATTGAAATACTGTTTATTATGTATTGTTGTTTTGTTCTTCCTTTGTTTTTTCTACATACATATTCAGTTCAAATTAAAAAACCAATCAAATCAAACCCACTAGCTCAGTGCCCGTTGTAGACCTTCCTGTTTTTAATATATATAGTGTGGAAATATAAACCTCAACTAACTACAGCAGTAACTGGTCTCTTACACAGGAATGCATCAACACGTTATCCAAATACGAAATCACAATATTCAATACATAATATGATGTAATAATCACTGGATCGTGGGACTTTTAATACTTGAAGTATATTTCCTGATTATTCTGCTATATGAAGTGGAAAGTCAAGAGATAGAGGTAGTGCAGAGGTTTGATGACAGTAATTATTTTATTTATTCAACCTTATTCTAACCAGTAAGTCTCTTGACAAACGTTGTTCTCATTTGGCAATGTAAAAGTAGTATCCATTAAGACCACACATCATTCATTTATCACTTAAAACATCAGAGGAGGATATGAGACACGCAAGACTTACCCGATAGCTACAGCTTGAGGTTTCTGGTGTGACTAATGTACTCTAATGTATTGTATAAAACTAGTTCTATGTACTCAAATACCAGTACTAAACAGTATGAAGCCATGCATCGCCTGCAAATATTTCAATTAAAAGCTTATTAATAACCAATGTATGGATTCAGTCAACAGAAATGTTGAAAAGCTTTTATTTTGAAACGGGTACAAACATTTATGTAAACAACAAAATGTAAACAATTTAACTTAACCTATATTTAAAAGATAATAATAATAAAATAACACTCCATCTAAATTAGGATGCCTTTACTACCAGGTTTAACCAACTACCCGTTTCTAATTGTTATGCATCTATCTCAAGGCAACATGTTATGACTAATTTCTTGATGTAAAATTAACTATTGTGTTTAAAAAACGTTTTTATATATATTGTGCATCCTTATTGCACAACAAAGTCCATAAGTCCCTTTTAAAAGGTATATTTAGAGTGTTGAGGGGGGGGGGGGTCCAGTCATATCTAGCAGCGCCCCTGCCACAACCACATGCAGAGAGGAAACGTCTGGAGCCTCTTTGAATTATACAAGGTGGTGAAGTGGAGAATCAATCCTCCTGCTCCTTCACATCATGGTGGTGTATGGGAGCGTAAAATCTGCACTGGGAGAAGGGTTTTAAATTCTCTTCTGACACAGCAGAGGTTGAGCGATAATAGACTCTGTACAGTGTATATTCAAATCTATAAACCTATACACATATATATTACATGTTTATTATTGAAATATTTCACACTATTCACTTGATTGAACTCATGCTGTGTGAGTAATGCATTTGTTTTGCCTAAAGAAGTTCTGTTGAGGTAACTGGACTTCTGTTACTGGATTGAATGAGAGCTCTGCGGTGAACATGTGCAGTACAGGAACCATCTAACATTGGTAGTGTTGAAGAGAGATGATTGGAGCCTCCCCAGTACATTCAATGTTGTAGACATAAGGGAACTTGTGATCGAAGATATAGAAGATTGGCACGTGGCAGTAGTTTTTCAGATATTTTCATCATGGTAGGTAGTTGCAATTTGTTACCATGAGTGAAGCTCACAGTAGCTAAGACTCAGAATTGGTGAGTAAGCAATCTTACAAGCTTCCACCAACAAAGATGAGCAGATTTTGTAAGAGGCCTCTCTGATTCAGTTCTTGTATACACGAAATCCTAGTCTATAACAATATCAAAAATAGTATTGTAATCATGGATGACAATGTAAGGCATAAACAATTTGATTGCCTGAGCAGAATATTACAAAATTTGATTGATTACAGTTGTAAAGGAACATTTTCACAAATACATTTCTCTAGTTGTCATTGATTTAATATGGCAATTTGTTACAATACAAATGGACCTGTGAACCACTCACTCTTTATTGTGCTTACTGTATTTATCCTTCATTTTCTCCGGAGGAGCTGCATGTGTGAACGCAAATGTGAAAAATCGGACACACACACAATAAAGACACTAATGAATGTGTGAAAAGAACATCTTGCTGTGTTGTGATTGTAAGAAAGGCAAACTGCAGGTAAACTCTGGAGCCAATTCTGCATATTTTACCCACAATTCATGTCTGAAAATGGCTCTATTCACTTACTTACTTCCGAAATCACCAACACACCCATTCTCTTGCGGAGGAACTTGAGGAGGATATCCTGCTGTAAACTCACATGGGCTCATTCAGACATTCTCTGGAGAATTCTCGCCAGAGAAACTCAAGATAATGTTTGGAGCTTCTCACTCGGACATTTGCATTCTCACATATAGCATATCAGGAGACCACCTAGAGTTCAGTGCAGGTGTGAAAGCAGCTAAAGATTGCGTTCTAAACTAGAGTGACCTGGCCTCCTTCCTGTTTTTTTGTTATCCGCCCTCAGTGTTATCTGAGTGTCTTCCTGCTCAGGGTTGTAACACAACCATGACCAACCAAGAATTAATGCTTTATGTTGGAAACATGTAGAATCACCATCACTTGAGATGTGGAAAAGGGAACTGATGACATGTCTTGGGTTGGAGAGGGAGACATATATGGTTAAAGGTAAACCGAAATATTTTGTTTGTATTTGGGACTCATTTATGTCCTTCCTGTTGTGTGTGTGTGTGTGAACCTGTGGCTGTTTGAGGGGATGTATATTTGTTCATCGATGTATATGTTTTGATATACACTTGAGAATTCAATAAAAAACTATGACCGATCCTGCCCAGCCTCCACAGTGGATTGGTCCACCACAGCAGCAGTGTAGCTGTGGAGCCCTAACTTCTGTGGTATGCTCCAACTCACAGACACAAAGAGTCATTTTTCACAGCAGACAATTGGACTTGTCAGAATAAAATCCCCCCCCCCATCCCCCTTCTATAAGACCTTAAGCCGACAGACCTCTGTAACAGATGAAGTTGGGTTGTTGTAGTCGTTTTGTGTCTCTTTGTGGTCATGTTCTGTGTCTCTGTGCTTTTATTTGCATGGTATTGACAAAATGTGACAACACAGAAGACTTACTGTTCTACTAGAACTGATGTACCGGTATGTCTAGAATCAGAATTGAACTGAAATCTGAGAAATGTTATTACAATATGACCGAGATCCACTGGTCACAGACATCTAACTAATTTTAAGACAAAAATAAATCTGATTGACAAGAGCTGTGACACTGTGTACACAAAGGAAGTTGGTAAACTTTTCAAGAAAAGGCGTGGAACTCTCACCCACCTCAAGGTGCAAGTGTCAGTCTTTACAGCTTGAGCACTTGGTGTGGAAGTTAATAAGCACGCAAGCTATTCTCAGTGGACTTAACTCATTTCAGTGCAGTACATCTACAACATTTGTAAATCATGTATCGCTGATTCTTGGGGCTTTTCAACCTTAATCACAGATTCCAGGTTTCCAAGGGCACACAATAAATATATGCAACTGCTTTACAATCTCAGAGACAAATATTTTATATTTCTATGTTGTATACTGACATGAAATGACCAGACTACTGTAACTACCTGAACTTTAAGGTGTTTTATGACTCCTCCTTAAACTTTTAAAGTTTTAACTGTCTAATTTAACGGTTTCCCTGACAACCTTACAGAGATTCACAGCATAGTCAAATCTCCCCTTCGGCTCTGTTGTGTCAACACTCTTACAATGAAGTGAACAACCTCTTTTGAGACTCTTGTCCTCACAGAGACTCACAGTTGTGTCTGAAGCTCTGAAGCAGCCAGTCGTATTTGTGTTGTTACGCCATGTGCTGACCAGTCAAAGGTCAAGGTCAACAAAGATACTACAAAATATGTTGGAGTAATAATACACTGACTCCCTAATATATGATGTCATTTGATTGGTGATGTCATGTAGAAGTCACAATCAAGTCAGAAAATGATGTCATGCATGGTTCTAAAATGCTTTTTTCCAGGTATCTTTGCATCACAGGACTATAGACATGACCAAAAACTTATATAGATAAAAAAAAGTCAACAATGATCATATAGTAGAAATGATTTTAACATGGTGTCACTATAAAGTCAGAAAATTTGTGTTGTAATGCATTACGTTTTGTAGACAATAACATTAGAGACAGGATCTACAGCTTATTTAGATTAACCAATCATATGGTATAAATGATGTCATGATGACGTCATTATGCATTACTACAATAATAAAAACGCATTCCTGATTGGGGTATATATACAGCATGTATGCAGTCCTGAAAAAGCATATTTTACAGCGTTGGATTTAGATAAATAAGCTTTTCAAGCAGTGATGATTAGGTCCTAACATGGCTGTAATAGAAGGGGATGTCCTCTAACCAGAATGTTGGCGGTTTGACCCAAGTTTCCCCCACTCTGCATGAACAACTGTCCTAGGTCAAGATACTGAACCCCGGATTGTCCTTGACGGCTGTGCTGACATATGTGAGTGATGTGTGATAGAGAAAATTGTGCACATAGATGCACTGTATTACTGTGTGTGAATGGTAAAACTGTACTGTAAAGCACTTTGAGTGGTCATCAAGAATAGAAAAGCAGTGTATGATTACAGATCATTTATCATTTACATCCCTGTGAGTGTCTGATAGGAGGAGCACATGAAAATATAAATATATAGTCGGGGTAGAGCAGGTAGTCCATCAAGGAGTTTGGTGGTTTGATCCCAGTCTTCCCCATTCCTCATGTCAAAGTATCCTTGGGCAAAATACTGAACCCCAAATTGCCGCTGACAGTTGTGCCGTTCTCATAGAAGAAGTGTTGCCCACAGATGCACCGTTGAATGTTTGTGCGAACGGGTAAATGGGGGAAAAAAAATTCAATACACCTAAGCGCTATATAATTGCAGACCATTTACCATTACTATAACCAAGTACATTCATAATATTAAATAATAATAAAAATAATATACAAATTATTCAAAGAAAGCATATTATCAGTTAATCATTGTGGAATAAATAAGCTCCAACATATTATTTTTCTTGTGTGTAGTGAGTTTTACCTTTCAAACTAAGAAATCGGGAGAAGTGGTGGATTTAATAAACACACTAATTTCAGAGACTGAAGAGTGAACATTTATCATCATGATGTTACTTCCAGCATTTATGGTAATAGGCAATGATATATCAATTAATTATGTCAAAACAACATAAATTATCAACTTTAACTCAAATATTTGCTGGTTCCCTCTTTTTATAGTCTACATTAAGATTTGACTGTGACCCAGCATAATAAATAATATTATAAGTGATTTTTAAAAACATGCATATTGTAGACTATAGTAAAACCTATGCTCCGTGCACAGTCTCAGGCTGTGGGAGGGGTGAGGGGAGAGGTTTATCGTCCTGACTGAGTACTATTGTCCTAATCCGTTCTTAGAGGATAGAGGCTTACTGCAACCTCAGGTTGGGTTGACTACAACTATTAGCTCAGTGAGGACCATCCAAGCAACCGGGGCCTGCTGCTCAGATCACTGTTATTTCTCTTTTTTTAAATCTTTCTGTATCTCTCTCTCTCTCTCTCTCTCTCAACCTCTCTCTCGGGCTCTGACAGCTGAACCTGGTCAGATCTCCTGGATTAATTGGAGGAGCTATTCATTCCCTCTGGGCTCATTCGGAAGCCATTTTATTATTGTAGGCTAGAAGAAGAACTCTTTTCCTGTGAGCTTGTCTTTCATAAATCGATCAATCCGTTTATTTTATTTTTAATTTGAACCACAGACTAGTCAGGATGAAGGACCGTCTGGCGCAGCTGAAGGAGGTAGGCACCGTTTGTGTCATATTTACCTTGTGGACCACCTGTTGCCACCACAGGCCTCGTGTACTGTACACTGATATCCTGTTTGGGTTGTAGGTTATTGTAGCTAGAGGGAGGCTCCGTTTAGATGACAGGTTTCTAATGAAGTTAATTGTCAACAGTATTATATCAGCATATTTCTGCATTGTTCAATATAAGAATGTTACATTTTGTAGTATAACAAGGAGCAGATTTTATAAAGTAGTTATAGTCGTAGTAATAGTGGTAGTTATAGTTATAGTTGTAAATATATTCAAAATGTAGGTGGGGGTTGCTGTTTAGTCCTTATGTCCTGCACTAAATCCTCAATATTCAGTGTTATTATTATTATTATTATTCTGAATGTGTGGTATCGTGTGACACTAAGTAGTAGGATAAGATGAAGTGAGTTGGGATCGTGCGGAGGTGTGCACTCATTTAACCTGCAGAAGGCAGTCTCACGTGAGCAACAGGAAATGTGAGGCTTCTCTTCAAACATCATCTGGAGCTCAGTGGGGAGACGAGTCCATGTGACACAACAACGTTCACTTTGTGATATAATCAGGAGATGCTGACTCCTTCTTACTAACATACATCAGACTGAGAATAACATGTTTTAGAGGAAAGAAGTGAATTAGTTCTGCAGATCTTTTTTTACGGATGGAACAAATTAAAGTAATAATTGTCCTCATCAAACAGATCAAAGCCATTGCTCCACCTACAGTCAGTCAAATGATTTTATTACATACATGTAAATTCCTCAGAAGACAATAGAAAACTTCCACAGCTGTGCACTTGACAAAGGTATGTATTTTGGTATTAAAGTGTGTGTGTGTGTGTGTGTGTGTGTGT